ACTGATTCAACCCTTCGGAGCAGATGAAGACACCGTCACAAGCACCAAACCTCCCATCCCTTCCACACTCCTCGGCTGGAGCCAACTGTACCTCAACAACGCAGGGTGGAGTCATTTCAGGGCAAATCAGTCTATTCCCCAAGTAAAAGCAAGGGTGGCATTTAGCTGCATTAGAGCCTTCTGCACGGCATGTTGAAAATTTTTCCAAGGGTAACTTTGGGTGCATATAGAGCTTACTTCAGTGGTCCCCAGCTTAAAAAAACAAACAAAAACCAAGTGAAAGAAGAAGATTCTATTACTCTTAGGCCAGGAGCAGTACAGAGAGAGAGTGTGTGTGAGTGTGTGTGTGAGTGTGTGTGAGTGTGTGTGTGTGTGTGTGTGTGTGTGTGTGTGTGTGTGTGTGTGTACACACTTCAGTGCCGGGTCTCTAATAAGACTGTTTTTGGGCTGAACTTCAGATCACCAAAACCCTGCCACTCAAAAGTAGCCAAACAGCCCCAAGATTTGGGAACCTGGGGTAAAAAAAGTCATTCCAACTTTGCTCTCTTTTTTTCTCTCTGAAATGCCATGTTTCTTTTTATTTGCTCTGTATCACAGTGCAGAGAGGAAAGCTAACAAAAAATAAGAGCTGGAGTGAAAAGAGAATTTTTGCTATTTAGAAATAAGGCTAAGTTTGACCCACAATTTTCGCATTAATGACACCGGTCATTAGGAGAGACATAATTATTCATTTATGTTTTATGTTTTCTTTCCTAACTCACTGGTTAGGAAAGAAGAAAATGCTTAACGGATATCCAACTATGTCCTTCACTGATATCTTACTACACATCTTTTGAAAGGTGGCATTTAAAAAACGCTACTTTATTCTACTGAACATGGATTTCGGGTCCCTCCAGAATATGATATTGGAAAGCTTTATAAAGTTCAGAATATTAAGAAGTCATTACATTGTTTTACTTTTCTATAGAATGCCCATGAAAATTCAGTTGTTTTCAATGTATTGAGAGGAAAAAAAAAAAAATCTACGTTCTATCACATATATATTCCCACCACCCCCCTCCACCCCATCCTCAAGAAATATATTTCTTGTCAGGAAAAAATCCTTGGAGCGATGTAGGTGTCTGTGATGAAAGATCTGGTATGACTACATTTTCTTCCAGGGAATCCTTTAAATTGCCTCATTAAACTGCAGAGTTCTGTTGACCATTTAAAAGACCACTGTATTATTCTATATATACCAGATTAAAAACAGAATTTAACAGAATGTTAAAAGAAGGCTAAAAAGAAAAAGGATGAAGAAACTGGAAACGAGACACCTAAACAAAATTTAAAGGAATTTCTAACCCTATAAAACTTGAACTGGTTCGCCTGGTGGTGTTAACATCCTCGTCTTCTTGCGATACCATCCACAGCAATCTTTTGAACTAACGGGAAGAAAAGGCAACGTGCCCCACACAAGCACTGCCGACGAAGCTACCACCCGTCACCACCACTCCCACCATGCAGGGGCACAGGAAGGACTGCAGGCAGGTATCAGTGAACTCACAGGATGGGTGTGACCTACATAGGCTCAAATTCTAGTGCCCAATGATAAAAGCCCAACAGTAAAGGTCAACAGAAATATAAATTTCTTCATGTAAGAAGCAAATTGTACAGCTAGGGCATCTGCATGTATCACGGACACTGTTTCCTTCCAAATCAAAGAACTGTCTTTGCCTCTGTGGATCATGATCACTGACTGAGAACGAGCTCTGATAAGGAAAAGCTTTAGTGTTAGTCGCAGAAAGTGATGATTCTTAACTTGCGGTTGAGAGGTTGGGCTTATTTAAGAAATAAATCTTATAAATAACTATTTGGCAAAGATAAAGTATTAGCTTTCGTTAGCCTTAAACCGCTCAAGACAATAAACTACAATTTTAAGGAAAAGAAAAAAATTTTTTTCCAACTTTATCTCCATACCTACTATTTGCTTCTCATTAAATTATACTCTTTTCATGGAAGGACACTAGACACGCCGTACTGCCTGCCAACATGAAATTGCTCAGGAAGTCATTTATGAAGCAGTTCTATCTCACATGGTAGGTTACTAGAGAAAATAATCCTTTGCCATATAAGCTATGCGACGATAATTAGAAAATTTTTCCATTGCATAGTCTGTCACTTGGTGGGTTAAATGTAATTGCTATTTACTATTGCGAATTGTTAACTAACTACATAACCTACCCAGATGTGCAAATTGCTAAGCCATTTGTACAGAAGAAAAACAATGTCTTAAGTACTTTAATTAAAATAATACTAACAATTATGCAGAGGGTGCAAAGGAGAAAAACACATCTTTCCTTCGGATGCTACAGATCACAGCCAGTGAATATTATACGTTAGAATGGAATTCAGATTCTCAGAGCACAGAATGTATCCATTAACTGCAGCAACTCTGTAAATTAAATCACATTGACACAATCTAACTGGCCTTTATAAATGGTCCCAAAGTACTGCAGAAACAGAGTGAACCTTCTTTGCCACTATTTCTCATGAGTTTAACACTAGAGTGAAAGCTAGTATCCACCTAATTAGATAGAACCTTATATAAAATTTGTTTCTGATTCCAGTATTGCCTTATTATAGAATAAGTGCTATTTTAAAAGACACTGATTTTCATATTTCTGGAGTAAAAGACATTTCATTCCTTTCTTTACATATTAATAGCCAACCTACTAATAGACTAGAATTGCTCCATTAGCTGAAAGAACAACATAACAGATATCTCTGGGTTCACAGATGTTCTTCTCTCTTCCAAAAAGGGACTCACAAGAAACAGCAAGAACAAACAAATCGCAAGCTCGGATATTTGTTTTGAAGTAGACGAAACGAGAAGAAAAATTTGTTTTTTTGCTAACTCCTCAAACCTACACTGGTACTTTCTACAGGTGCCCTTCCTTCAGCTATCATCGTGGGCATCTACACAAAAATGAATTTACTCAAAGTTTTTGGTGTGAAGCTGTAACTGGCAACATTCCTGATCATTTCATGCCTCCTTAGCAGAAAGCAGAAAAGGGCTTAAAAATGCACAGAAAACAGAAAATTGCAAACAATAAAATGTGCAACTTACTGCAAACTCAGTTTTGATAACTGAAGAATTTTAAGCAGCTACCACAAGGGACAAATAGCCAGAAAAATTCAGATCAACGTCCCATGACTTGCCCTTCACTGTCAAAGAAAGGCTGATGAGAAAGTCAATGTGTATGTACCACTTTTACCTCCATAAAAAAGAAAGTCAATGGGCTGCTCTGCTACAACCTTTAATTAGTACACAATGGAGACGGAATCAAATCACTGGGAATGGACAGTTATCTCGTGATGATTATAACGGGATGTGAAGAGTTTAGCAAACTAAATGACACTTTTGAGCAGAGGTAACTACTCATAATCATTTCATTATAGTACATTAAAATAAAAAAGCTTACTAACATAGGTTCACAGGTGAAAAATATTCAGATGATCTCTTCTCACCCTTCAGAATAGAAATTTACGGTGCTACCAAATATAATTTTGCTTTGTGACATAATTTTATAATTTAGACATTTCTCAATCTGCAAAAAAGGCAAAGCTATTAAAAAATAAATCTTCCAATCAATTATCATGATTAAAAAAAAAAACTAAATATATTACAAACATATTTTTGGCCCACAAAAAGAAACTTCAATAAATACAAAATAGGGCATATAATGATTTCATACAGTCATGTGACATTTCCCCTCCATAATCTCAGGCACGTTTTATCTGCATAATGCCTGCTGATTACCATCATTCCTTTAAAAAGCAGAGAAAGGAAAGCTTTCAAAAGAAGGGACTGGTTAGAATTAGCACGGCATAAAGAGCACACATATAGGAAGTAGGAAAATACATCCAAATCTTTACCTATTGAAAAGGAATTAAGATCAAATATTCCCTGACAAATGAATTATTATATCCCATCATTAATAGATATGTTCTCTCTACTCATCTTAAAATATATATATGTAAATTAGACTAGACTCAGGTATAAATAGCCAATGGTATCTCAAGGGACAGTGAAACCTCTCAGCAAAAGCAGAGTACAGATGCCTTTAAAATCTAATTCCACCCTTGGGCGGGGGGATCGGGGGTCGGGGAGAAGGCAGGTAAAAAGAAACCTCACATATTCATTTCATAGTCACCAACTTACTAAACTATCCAATGGGATTTTTAACCCTAAAGTTCTGGTACTTAAAAAAAAAAAAAAAATTTCCCCGAACTTAAACCTAAATACTTAAATTATTTTAAAAGTACCAAAGGGTGGGTAAAATTTGTCTAATTTCCATATTCCGCTTTGAAAGAAACTTTAAAATGTGTATCCTTCAGATATTACACATCACTTCACAACTGGTACATTGATTCTACAAGTGTCTTCAACATTTTACAAATCTTACCAAAGAATCACTACTGTAAACATGAAAAATTCAAAAGCAAAAGATGGATCAAGGAGTTCACAGATCCCATCTTTCCAAACCTATCTGACCTATCCTGCTTTTCACATCAAAATATTTTAATTACATCTTGCGAATATATTCCATGGAAGAGGGATTTAGAAACAAATGCATGTCTAAAAAGGCAATATAACCAACCACCAGACCTCAGAATCGCAGCAACCCTGCAGTCCCTCCAGGCAAGCTTTTCACGACATCTGCAGGGCACTGACATGAATTCAGCTTTTTGTGTTCTGGGCTAACTTAGCAGAAAAGGGTTGTGCTATTCACGCCACCAGACCACCACCCTTCTCCATTCAGGAAAGTCAGTTAACTCAGTGGGAAAGAATGACCAACCTTATCAGGGCTGTGAGATGTGGGAAAGGAGAAGAGCCTTCTACTCATTAGGAAAGAAAAAAAAAAAAATAACAATGGGACAGCTGCTTCCTGCCCTGCACAAAAACACACGCGTGGGTGCACACATACACACAGGCAGTTAAAAGACTAATTGTTTTCTTTTTAATTAAACATGATCACAATTAGGAATGGAATCCTGGCCTCATGTGATGTTTAGCAGTCGGTGCTAAGTCAGAGCCTTGATCTGCCTCTACACACCACTTGCCATCTCTTACACAGGAACTCAATGAATAGGCTCATTCCATTTAGAACCACCTATGTAAAGACCTGGTATTAGAATGGAAAGCATTGATCTGAATACTAGGAAATAGTAAAGGGCACTGGTAATCTGAGGTATCTTTCACTTCTAGGACTTGCTGCTAAAAGTCGATTCTATCCAGTCACTGTGCTGAGCCACTAAGGAAACCACTGGGGGAGAGTGGACCTGCCAGGAGGGAATGAGCACCAGTGCGAAGGAGCACACGTGAACACTGAAGCGAGGTCCACTGTGGGGTAACCTGCTTAACTGGAAAAGGGAGTTCTCCTCGAGTCCCCATCTGTTATTTTTAAAATCTTCTTTAGGAAAAGGGGAGAGGGGTGATAAAGAGGAAAACAAGATAGAAAACACCAGGTTCCCCACCTGCCTGCAAGCACACAGATACGCTCAGTTAGGGGAGGTAAAGGGAGAAGACGCATTATTGGTACTTGTAGCTGTGGCACCTGTCACTGTGAAGCCTGTGGGAGGCGCTATTGAGCTGTGGCTGGGCTGCAGGTCCTTGGGGATGCCACTGTGAGAACTCAGCTGGTGGCCGAAGGCTGCGCTGAACTGAGGGAGTTGCTGCTTGGGAGAGGTGGAGGCCAGCAGTTCAGCAGAAGGCCCCATGCCACTGAAGCTGGTCTGCGGTAACCCCGGAAGCACACTGGAGCTGCTGGGGGTCACGGTGGCGAAGGCAGGCTGTGTGGTCTCTGAGTTCGAAGTGGTGGGTGGTGTGGATAGGGAAGTGGAAAGAAGATGTCCATCTGCGCCGAGAAGGTTGCTAAATGGAGAGGGATCTCCGAGGCTGACAGGGAGATTGCCCCAGTGAGTTCTGGGGTTTACGACTCCTCCAAGTGGCACCTCAAGTTGGGCTGGGAGCAAGTGCTGCGCCATGATGGGCATCTCTGCTGAAAAGGTAGCTGCCATGTTATCACCAGAGTAAGATGTTGTGTGGGGAGAGGTGATATGGTCGCTGTAGGGAGACGGCACGTGCTCACTGTCATAATGGCTTCCGTGGGGCGAGGAGTGTGAATGGTCACTGCTGTATTGCTGTCGTGAGGTGATTAGGTCATCTGCCTTGCTCAGCAGCTGGGCAGGATGCGGCCTCTGCGAGGCATGGCTGCCATCGTGAAGTCCATGAAACTGTCCTGGGAAGGCTCTCTCCCCAAGGGCACTCTGGCTGATCAGAGTGGCAGAAGTAAGGCCAACGTTGGCTGGGGCAGAGAACTGCCCCTGGATCTGCCCTGCCAGGGGTGTAGGTGGGTTAGACAAGGTAGCAGAACGGAGCAGGCTCTCATCCAGCTCTAGACTAGAAAAGTTGTCGTGGACTATACGCCCATTCAGCAGCTCCCCCAGGTCCGTGTTTACCTCTCGGCTCAAGGACTGAATTCCTGAAGCTCCAGTCCCTGTGGAGAACACCCCTATTCCTCTGTCTGACAACTCCTGGACGGGCACACCATCTGACTGGGTGAGCACCCCAATGGTACTCAGGCACTCAAGAGACGTCACGGCCTGCAAGGCCCGCTCAAGCTCCTCGGCCTCTTCGGTGGTGGGGAGGAGGTCCCCGTTCTTGCCTGAGTAAACGAGAGCCATCAACAGTCAGCAGAGCTTTCACCGCCCCAGACCACAAAAATCATACAGCGGAATTATGTGTAACAATATTCTAGTAAGGATCGGATGGAAAGGAAAAAAGTGAAACATTCAGCTGCAGGACAGGTGTGAGGGGTCAAGCTGTCCCGGAACCTGAATCACATCTTCAGTTCGTTTACAGCACTATCAAAATCCGTCTGAGCCAAGTGTTCAGTGCTTAGGAGTCTAAGCACTACCAATTTAAAACACGTGGTGACTATCTGATTTCACGTATGTTTTTACCCGAAGCTATATTAACGTCATTAAAACGAAAAACATGTCAGTCAGTTCAGATCTGAGACAAAAGGCTGTGTGGGAGGAGCCGCCTTTGCTCCTCTACTCTTGGGCTCTTCCAGCTGGAAGGGCAGCTGTGAAGCCTACGATACAGAACTCACGTGCATATCTCAGCGCAACACCAAGCACTCAGCTCACTTCATAGGTTACCTTTTGAAATGCTTTTGCGTTACTCTCTACCCTTCCCCTCTCATCCTTCTCCCATTTCTAAGTGATTTTCACAAAATGGAAGTCACAGGCCTCACTGATTTCATTTCCAATATAAAAAACCCATTGTTAGCAACTTGACTAATCACCCCCAAAATATCCAGTTTTTAATGGTGAAAGAAACCTTCTAAGAGTAGAAAAGATTTCCCCTGAAAGCACTAGAGAATTGGCAGTATTAAGTCAACTTTGTTCTGGAAAAGTGCACTTCAATTGAAGTACATGGTGGGGTATTAAAATGAGGACAAGTTCTGAAAGGTTTCAATAAACTCAAATTTAAAATGTCTTTGTTCAAAAATAAACGAAGGGTGTATATGTATAACTGATTCACTTTGTTATAAAGCAGAAACTAACACACCATTGTGAAGCAATTATACTCCAATAAAGATGTAAAAAAATAAAATAAAATAAAATAAATGAAGGTAGGTGCCTTCCCTGGCGGTCCAGTGGTTAGGACTTAGGGCTTTCACTGCCACGGGCCCACATTCAATCCCTGGTCGGGGAACTAAGGTCCCGCGTGCTGCGCGGTGAGGCCAAAGATAATAAATAAGTAAAGGAACAAAGTTATAAACGTAGCTCTCAAACCTACCGATCCACTAAGGCTAGGATATCAGTCTAAAAACTGTACATGCCTCACCTTCTAAAAAGAGTAAAACAGCTTCAGTGCTTTACCTTTCCTGTCTCTGGCGAAAGACGTTACACGTGAGGAGGGATACTCCAAACATATCTCAAAAAAGCTACCTCCCCCTTTAAAAAACTCATTTTAAAAACCAGTTTTCTCCAATCAAAACATTGACCATACCTTCAAAAAAATCAAAATCTTGTAAGTCATCAGGTAGCCGCGGCAGGACGTCTGAAAAGTCCTCCTGGTTCAATTCCAAGTCATGTGGAATGTCAGTGATCTCATTGGCAATGTCATCCGGCAGCTCATCAGCACTCAGCTCTGGCGTGGACGGGCTCCTGGGGAAGACGACACGATTGGCCCCGCCCCCCCCACTTGACCTCCACATCAGTGTCCCCAAGACAAGTCTGTCGATGCAAAAACGGAAAATCCTAACTCAAAATGTCTCCCTTCCTACTCTAAGAGAAGAAATTCGGAAACCAAAACGACAGAACTCGCCATATGCAGTTACACACTTCTGCAACGCTTACCCATGTATTAAGAGAAGACAACCATTTGGAGATACTATTTTTACTGCAAATTAGAATGAATGACAATTTGGTGCACTAGTAAAATGAATTACAATTTGGTATATCAAGTGTGTCTTAGTACTTTATAGTAGAATTTAAAATCTGGTCAAAATAATAATTAAAAAAAAAAAAAAAAGAAACAGGGCTTCCCTGGTGGCGCGCTGGTTAAGAACTCGCCTGTGCCAATGCAGGGAACACGTGTTCGAGCCCTGGTCCGGGAAGATGCCACATGCCGCGAGGCAACTAAGCCTGGGCGCCATGGCTACTGAGCCTGCGCTCTAGAGCCCGTGCTTCGCGACAAGAGAAGCCACCGCAATGAGAAGCTCACGCACCGCGACAAAGAGTAGCCCCCGCTCGCCGCAACTAGAGAAAGCCCGCGTGAAGCAACGAAGACCCAACGCAGCCAAAATAAATAAATGATGAATGAATGGATGAATGAATGAATGAATAAATAAATAAATTTAAAAAAATGAAACAGATAAAACTGGGATGTTTAGCTGAAACAGAAGCCTCATTCATCTGGTCAAAATGCTTATTACCCCTGACAAAATTAATAATGCATCAGATTTCTGATGGAATATTTCTGTTGGAACATATATGGAATTTCTGTTGAAACAGAAAAATCTGAGAGTAGTCAATTAAATTCCCAATATCAGCATTTGCTCTCTTGGTTATCAAAAGCTTTACTTCAGATCTAACCCCATCAGATATTTTGTAAAAAATCATATTGAAAACTACAAGGTCTAGGCTTATATACCAAATGGTTCCTTTAGCCTACTTCCAACACTAGAAAAGTAAACGAAGCCAGATGTTCTGAGAACAATCAGAACACGTAAAGCAGACGTAAACTCTGGCGCCACCACTGACCGGATGTGAGAGGCCTCCACTGGCAGTGAGACGCTGGTGGGCATGCTGAGGTTCCCCTGAGGAACTGCAGGGGGAATGGGCTTTTGGGGTCGACGAGGTCCACGCCTTCTCTTCTTCTTGTGTTTTTTGGTAAGTGCAGGAGGCTTGGTTTTTTTCCTGGGTTTCCTCTGCTGCTGGTGCTGAACTTTACGGGAGCTATCTCCTCTCAAGAAATTATCCTTTGGAATGAATAAATGGGTATTTTTAAACTGAGATTATTTGGGAAAAACCAAACAGCTATCTGAAAAAAATACTTATATCTCTTAAAATTCTATATAGTGCCTAAAACTATGTATAACGATAATTAAATGAATAAGAAATTCATTTTAAAATTTAATTCAAATCAATTCAATATATACATATAGCTCATCCCACATTTACAGGCATTGTCATAGGTGCTGTAGTATAAAAAATTGAATAAAATTTGATTTGTGCTCTCAAAGAACTTAGTCTCCCATGGGAAAAACATGACTACAAGGATACATAAATACAGTAGAAAAAATTGGGCAATAATGATATAAACACCTTCTAAGGGTACACAAAAGGAAAATCCTGTATTTGTAGTTAATGTGAGATTAAAGGACAAACAGGATTTTAAGTTGTTGGGATAAGGGGGAAGATCATTCTAGGCTAAAGGAAATGGCACAAACAGACAAAAAGGACAGCAAATAATTGGGTATGACTATTGCTCGGGGTATAATGGAGGACAAAATATAAAAGTAACCTGTAAAGAAGTCTGGAACCAGATCCTATATGACTTTGAATACTCTGTTAAGGATTTTAAACTTTATTTTATAGGCAATGGGGAATGAGTTTTGATGACAGGAGTACATGTTTTAAAAGGATTAACTATCCTGCTAGTAACGTAAAGGGATAAAGAGAAGAGGCAAGTGAGTGGAGGAAGAAGTTCCAATCAGAGGGCTATTTCAACAAGTATTACGAGACTGATAAATAGCTGAGGGCCAAGTGAGCAGGAATGGAAAAGCGACGGCCTGTTGAGAGAGAATTCTCAAGATGTGACAGATCCTTGGGTGTGGTGAGGACGTGGGGAATATAAAATTCTCAAATGTGTCCAGGATTTCTAGCTGAGGTGATTGTTAGGGGATAATGCCATTAGTTGGGATACAGAACACAGCAGAATCAGGAAAAAAGTTAAGGAATTCAGTTGGCCTCAGACAGAGTTTGAGACGTGAAGACGTCCAGGGAGGCAGGAGAAAACCGTATCTGGTGCACAGGAAGGAAGACAGGGATGGAGATGGAGACCTGGAAATCTTGACACAGTAAAAGTCCTTCAAATAATTTATAGGGACCAGGGAGACATGGTAAAGAGAGAAGACAATGGGCACACAGCTTTATAAAACTGTTGCAATTAAGTGAGGAGGCAAAGGAAGAAGAACCAGGAAGGAATAGAAACCTGCACTACAACTAGCTTTCTTCAGCTAAGTACCCTTAAATCTGAAGACCCAGATGCACATTTTACTCTCTCTACAATCGGAAAGCATTTTACAATGACGGCATATTATTCCTGCCGTCAGCCAGGTGATGGTCATTACAGTTGGTGCTGCCTACATGTTCAAAGTTGGTCATAGCTCTTTGTCCTGTCATTGTTTGAATGAAGGTATATGCATTGTTGGTTTTACATGCAGAGGAAAAACTGCTGAGTATGCAGAAAGGCACGAAAAGTGGCAGTGTGTAAAACTGTTACTGGTGAAGCAAATATTCATTATTGAAGAACTGACCACAATACCCCCCACCCACCTTTTTATTGCAAAGCCACAACCAAAGGAAAAAGGAAAATAATCCACAAAGTGGACAAAGCTGTGTTATAGTAGATGTATGTAGAAAATACTGCCTTTCACACACCAAGAATTAGCTGAAACCAGGAGTGCTATAGAAGATAAAAATATCTACGTCTATCTATCTAAGACTAAAAAAGCTATTTTGGTAAGTATAAAATAAAAATTTTAAGTGATAAGAAATGCACTGTGCAACATTTTTTCCTTCTTGGTGGTATATAAAACAAACGTGGTTTTTACGATTGATGTCACCTTTGAGTTGATGAACTCAGTAATAATTCTTATAATCAAATACATAAAAAGACCTGAAGACTAATAATTATCACTAACATCAAACAAATTCAGAGCAAGAATAAAATTAAGCATAAATTCAGGAAATCTAAAAGATGTTTAATCCCAGACAAATACTTGAATCCAAACACAATTACAGACTCAAAATTCACAAATTTAGAAAACAACAAAAAAGAGGCTGCTTCCCAGACTCTGTAATTCCTTTTGGTTCAACACGTGACATCTACTTTTTTTATGCCCACTATGTAACTGAATAAATAGTGAATAAGCAGCTACCAGTACCCACCAGGTGCTGGCATCCATTCCAGGATTTCCCTCTAGGACCAGTGTGAATCTTGAGCAGGAGAGAGGAAGAGAGCTCTAGCCAAGAATATACTAATCCTACTGGCTCTGCTTCTGGGCTTCTGTCTTCCTCTCAGGCTTATGCTGTGTAGCCACGCAACGTGTTTGGTAAGGTGCCAGCTCCTCCACACAGAAGTGCCCATGACTGAGACCCTGCCTGGCCCTTGGTGTTCCCTTACTTAGCTCCTCCAAAGAACACCTGTGTCCTAGAGGCTTTCCTAAAGCCAACTGCTCATGTACCTAAACTACCTACAAACACTGTTCACTCCCAGCATTCTCACTGTCCCATTCTACTTCTACGCAGGACAACCCATTTAGTAACTTACCATCTGTTGTATGGTCTCATACCTGTTGAATACCATGTTCTGTCTGCCAGCCTGGACCTCGGGCAGCTCTAGCCTCTTCTACCAATGGCTGTCCTATCAAGTGGCTGAGTCTAGCTCAGAATCTCACCCCTATCCCCCACAAGCCATGTGCCTAACCGATAATTTATTCAACCATTACTTACGGAGCATCTTTGTTCCAAGCACTGGGGATATAGTAGCATTGAACAAAAAGATGTTCCTGCCTTTGTGAAGTTTACATTCTAGTAGGGGGATTCAGACAATAAACAAACTAAAAATGAATACATAATGTTAGGCAAATATAAATGTTAGGAAGAAAAATAAGGTAGCGTACAAGGATAAAAAGTAGCAGGGTAGAGGGGAGGCAGAAATGAACTGACACTTGATCAGAAACCTGAATGAAATGAAGGAGTGAGACATGGAGAATCTGGGGAAAGAACACTCCAGGAAAAGAGAAAAACAAGCAGAAAGTCCCTGAGGTGGGAGCATACTTAGAGTGTTTAAGAAAGAGCAAGAAGGCCAATGTTGCTGGAGCTGTGGAAGTGAGGAGAGGGTATAAGACGAAGCTGGAGCGGTTGCCAGGGCCAGATCAGGAAGTGCCTCATAGGCATGGTAAGAATTTCAGATTGGATTCTAGATGCGATGGGAAGCCACTGGAAAGTTTTGATCAGGGAACTAAAATGATCAGATGTATATTCTAAAAGGCCTGCTCTAAAGGCTACATACTGAATGATTCCATTTAGAAGACATTCTGGAAAATGTAAAATTATACGGACAGAAACAGATCAGTGGGGATAGAAAAGGGCTGACTACAAAGGGCAACACTAGAGACTTTTGGGGGGTGATGGAATGATTCTGTATCTTGATTATGTATCTGTATGCATGTCAAAATTCATAGTACTATACACTAAAAAGAGTGAACTTTACTATATGTAAATTCAAAGACAGTGGGACCCACATGCATAGTCTACCCTGGCTGATCTGTGAGCAACACATCCGGGCACAGGAGGCGTGGCAGGAAGAAGGGAGACTAATTAGGAGGCTATTACAATAATGCAGGCAAAGATGATGGTAGCCAAGGCTAAAATGGTAGCAGCGAAGTTCGTAAAATGTGTGTGAATTCAAGATATAGTCTGAAAGTAGAGCCATGAGATTTGCACAGTTTTTATCACCCAGTGTTAGTCTCTCACTGGGGGACGGATGGAATACAAGTGTTTGCTCTACTCTTATGTAATTTTAAACTTAAAAATAGCTCAAACTAGGGCTTCCCTGGTGGTGCAGTGGTTGGGAGTCCGCCTGCCGATGCAGGGGACACAGCTTTGTGTCCCGGTCCGGGAAGATCCCACATGCAGCGGAGTGGCTAGGCCTGTGAGCCATGGCCGCTGAGCCTGCGCGCCCGGAGCCTGCGCATCCGGAGCCTGTGCTCCGCAACGGGAGAGGCCACAACAGTGAGAGGCCCGCGTACCGCAAAAAAAAAAACCAACAACAATAACAAAAAAAAATATGGAAGTCATTCTTTAACCGTGATAACACCTCAATAAGCTAACAAAAATGTCTATATTTTAAATGTCTTAAAATTAAAATGGGAAAGTAATTATTCAATATTTGTATACATAGTTCAGTATACAACTTTTCAAAATATATGGTCCATAAAGGAAATCTAGAAAACAAAACAGGTTCTTAGAGAAGAAGCCGGTAAACTTCATACACGGCTACTGAGGTCTAGAAAGGATGACTCATTAGTCCATGTTATACATATAGCTAGTGGCAAAGCCAGGACCACAGTGTTACACTACTAAGTCCTGTCCAATGGCCACTTGGTTACCCTGATGCATCCCTGCAAACTAAAATATGCTCATAGCAGGTAAGAGTTGTCTTATTCAATTTTTTAATACATAGGTACCTAGCACAATACCTTGCAAATAGCAGAACAACTCAGTAAGTGTCTGATGGGTGAAATGCATTTATTTTAAGTGATTATATAATTCAGGCAGTTCACTAATTCAGACTTTTCTCTCCAAATTATTCTGAATTAATTAGGGCTTACGCTACCAGCATTAACTAAAGCAATAATTAAGTCCAATGGAATTATAATAAGGGTTGGCTTTTGGCTGAAATTTCATCCAAGATATTCGCAGAATTATATATAAGAAAAGCAAAATCCTAGAGAAATGGAGCAAAGAAAGATCTTGGGAAATCTGCCTATGTATAAAAAAATGTATCTTGAGAAGAGAAGTATAGACTAGCTATAGATAATAAACAAAATGACCACATCTAACTAACTACTAAATACTTTCTAGAACAGTGTTTTCTTTCAGTGAGGGTATAAAATTAATTCAATCAGTTATGACCAGCATTTCTTTTTCTTTTTTTTAGTGAAATAGAAGAGACTACAAAATATGAGGTCCTAAAAGAGTACTGTTTCACAAAACTCGTTTCAGTGATTTACATACACATATAGTTTGTACTAAGTCATAAAATATTTCCTACTCTGGACAGCTATCAAAACTTTGAAAGCCTCAAGCTATTATATATAAGATGGATAAACAAGTTCCTACTGTACAGCACAGGGACCTGCATTCAATATCCTGTGAAAACCATAATGAAAAAGAATATGAAAAAGAGCATGTATATACATATATGTATAACTGAGTCACTTTGCTCTACAGAAGAAATTAACACAACATAGTAAGTCAACTATACTTCAATACAATTTAAAAAATATATATATGAACTTTGAAATCCTCTGTTGCAGAAAATAAAATTTGAACTTACCATTTTTTTGGCATGTTCTTCACACAGAGGTGTCTGGTGTGTAATGTCAAAAACGGGCACAGAGCACTGCTGTCCATCTGCAAACTTGGCCGTGCAACTTGAGAAGAGTTGCTGAGAGCGGTTCAAGAGGATATCTGGGTTTTTTTTAAGTTAGGAATAAAATACACTCAAACCATTTAATTTTTCGAGCTCTACATAAAATTTGTTTCTTCCCTAACTTGTGCTTAGTAAGTATAAATTTTATTATCTATAAAAGCTAAAGAACCAACCCAACTACTAAGAATAGAAAAATGATAATAGTTATCATCTTTATTTCTCAGAATATACTTCTGAAGGAGTCTATTTTGCTAATGAGCTTCTAACATGAGTCTCCCATTGTGATTTATGGCCATTGTGATTTCTGTTATTTAGACAAGCAGGGTCATTTCCTTCCTAACACATTGACTCCTAAAAGTTCCACTATGATGATTAAAAACAAACAAACAAAAAACTTTCTTTTAAGGAAAATTTCTGCCTAAGATACTCATCAAGAATAAATATTTAAAGATATAATTACAAAAAACTTGACTATCCAAATTTGAATTTTTCATTTCACACTTCCAACACCAAACTCAAACTTATAACTTACGAAAAATTACTTTTAAATCAAAATTGCACTGTTAAAATTGGAACATCAGCTTTTTATCATCATCATTTTTAAGCATCTATACTTTTAGCCAGCCACTAACTACATTTCCGTAGATTTACTTTTTATCTATTAAGGAAATACCTTTCCTTTTTCCTTTATGCTTTTACGGTTAAGGCTATTTATAAAGCCTTTACCGCATAGAAACTACTGCTGAAAAAGCTGTGAAAATACAACACCAAGAACAGAAAGGAAAGCAAAAATCAGACAGATAGCAAAGAAAAGTAATTGCAACTATATAAATTTTTAAAATGCCACTCAACTTCGAATGTTTAATAAAAGTGAAAGTAATAAGATTTCATAACCAGTCTGAAGCTCCTTAACATAGGTTTTCCTCAAGCATATCCTGTCTTAAGATATATTCTTTCCTAGTCAGTGATGTTTGTTATCTTTCATCTCAAATCAGCACCATATTCTATAAAAATAGCAAATTAATCCCATACCAAAAAGTGTACTGTAAAACTGCATAACTTTCTTGGAAGACTAAAAACAGTTTTTGAATAATGGGATTTGACTTTCCCATCAATGAGTGTCATGGTTGCCTCATACAAACTACCTAGAACCACTGGAAGGACCAGAATCCTATTAACAAAATTTATTTAAGTGACAGCCACTGGAAAAACCTACTACTTGCTGTCAGCTTTGCTCATTTTGATATGATTCTTGAATACAGAGTCACAATGATATAAGCAGAAAAAAACTATTCAGAGGACACCAAGAAAATCAGAAGTAATATAAAAATTATTTTCAATTATTACAGTTATGATTTCAAAAGCCATTCATCACTTGGCCTGAGAATGAAATATATCACCCCAATGAATTAGTACTTTTCAACGCACACTTGATTTAGTTAAGAGGATACGTTGGAAACAATGTCTGGTGAATGGAAGGGCTTTATTGGTGCACTGTTCACCCTTCACGGTCCCACTGCATGCTGCTGGCTCCACCTCCTTCAACTTGGTCCGGCTTATGCTAAGGAACAAAAGCCACAAAACTGATTTTTAAAAATGGTTTAAAAATCCAGGGCAATTATTTAAATAATGTTACTACTCTGTAACACCCACATTTTTAACTACCTACGTTCATTATTTAAATGCAAATATGGGGGCTTCCCTGGTGGCGCAGTGGTTAAGAATCTGCCTGCCAATGCAGGGGACACGGGTTCGAGCCCTGGACTGGGAAGATCCCACGTGCCGCAGAGCAACTAAGCCCGTGCACCACAACTACTGAGCCTGTGAGCCACACTACTGAGCCCCTGTGCCACAACTACTGAAGCCCGTGCGCCTAGAGCCCGTGCCCCACAACAAGAGAAGCCACCGCAGTGAGAAGCCCGCGCACCGCAACAAAGAGTTGACGCAACTAGAGAAAGCCCACATGCAGCAACGAAGACCCAACACAGCCATAAATAAATAAATAAATAAATTTTTTAAAAATGCAAATATGAATTACAATGACCAGTTCCAATACTTTTCCAACCTACTGACAAAACAAATATTACATTATAATTGGTCTCAGCTATGTCTATCTGTTTTTGTTTTTTTGCTTTTTTAAGTGATATTTTGGTTCCTTTTACTTTACAAAGAGGCAGTAGAGAATAGTGATGAAGACCATAGACTAGATCAGAAAGACCTGGTTCTGAATCTCCGCTCTACCTCTTATTAGCTCTGTGACCTTGGGCAAGTTACTTAGCCTTGCTTAAGCCTCAATTTCCTCACCTGTAAAGTGGAGATAAGAGTACTTCTAGTCGACAGGCAAGCACCAAAAGACATAACACACCTAAAACACTTACCACATAGAGTATATAGTATGGTAAATAGATAGTAAAGAGTCAATAGTTGTTAGTCACCACTATCATCATCATCATCATTTTTTTTTCAGTTTATTTTTTTTAACATCTTTATTGGAGTATAATTGCTTTATAATGGTGTGTTAGTTTCTGCTGTATAACAAAGTGAATCAGCTATATGTATATATATCTCCATATCCCCTCCCTCTTGCGTCTCCCTCCACCCCTCTAGGTGGTCACAAAGCACTGAGCTGATCTCCCTGTGCTATGCACCTGCTTTCCACTAGCCATCTATTTTACATTTGGTAGTGTATATATGTCAATGCTACTCTCTCACTTCATCCCAGTTTACCCTTCCCCCTCCCCGTGTCCTCAAGTCCATTCTTTACGTCTGCGTCTTTATTCCTGTCCTGCCTCTTCAAGCTGCTAAACAATACAGCTGCAGAAAACTTAACCTAATACATGAGGAATGGGATACAGAACAGAAAGCTACGCAGTGAAGAATCTCCTTTCCACCCTCGTCTTGATTTGCTAGTTCCCACTCGCTCTATAATAAGTATTCTTTTTTTAAAGGAACTCCTTTATTTATTTTTGGCTGTGTTGGGTCTTCGTTTCTGTGCGAGGGCTTTCTCTAGTTGCGGCGAGCGGGGGCCACTCTTCATCGCGGTGCGTGCGCCTCTCACTATCACGGCCACTCTTGTTGTGGAGCACAGGCTCCAGACGCGCAGGCTCAGTAATTGTGGCTCACGGGCCTAGTTGTTCCGCGGCATGTGGGATCCTCCCAGACCAGGGCTCGAACCCGTGTCCCCTGCATTGGCAGCAGATTCTCAACCACTACGCCACCAGGGAAGCCCAGTATTCATTTTATTAGTTTGTGATCCTTCCACAGTTTTATACAAACATAAAAAAAATTTAAAAATAAACAATATTTAAATTCTTGAAAGTATCAATATAGAAACTATGCTATCTATGTAATTCTATAAAGCGTCACAAACTATTAGGCCTTTACACATGCCTGAGCATGGAAAAAGAATCTACTTAATGCACTGAGTCACAAGTCAGGCATCAAAAATAAAGAAATATTTTGAATTGTTTGTTTCTAATATCTTTCTAAGGATTTAAGTGGAATGATTTACACTAATTAGAGAAGGTCATATAGAATAAGTTACATATGAACTTATTACATAAAATCTAAATAAAAGAATATTTTCATTGTAATTGTAACTTTCATATAAACAGTAAATGCAAATAGATGCTTCCAGGTGCTGCCATAGAAGTTGCTTCAATTAAGAATTCTGCAAGGGCTTCCCTGGTGGCGCAGTGGTTGAGAGTCCGCCTGCCCATGCAGAGGACGCGGGTTCGTGCCCTGGTCCAGGAAGATCCCACATGCTGCAGAGCGGCTGGGCCCGTAAGCCACGGCCGCTGAGCCTCCGCGTCCAGAGCCTGTGCTCCGCAACGGGAGAGGCCACAGCAGTGAGAAGCCCGCATATCGCAAAAAAAAAAAAAAAAAAAAAAAAGAGTTCTGCAAGATTTGTCAGATCACAAGAGTGAGGAACTAGGTCATTAAGCCCTGTAAAAAGAATACACACTTTCAAAAAAAACGAAGCTTTACTAATTTGGCAGCTAAGCCTAATTTCTCTTGGTCTAGGTTTAAATAGAAGGTACCTCTCTATTTTGAATGGATAATTTTCATTGAACAGTTTAATAATTTGCTCAGCCAGCTACCAGGCCTAGTGTTACAACACGACCCTCACTTTCTTTACCCTAAACTTCAAAGTAAACCATTGGTTTCATTTTTTTAAAATCACCATTATGTTCCAACTCACCAATCTTTCTCTTAAAATAAACCCAAAGTCAGAATATCAATATCCCCATGGATAATTAAGGTAAAAATGCCTGCTGTGATGTTAGATATATTTTATTATCCAAATAATCCCAACAAAACAAAGGTTTTGATGTTGTTAATATGAAAATATCTACGACGGGCTTCCCATTTGTATGCTCTACTGGATACCCCATTAAAAAGGAAGTTTTCACACAACCAACACTATCTCTCTGCAGGATTGTGGGTTACAAGATACTGAGATTTGGGTTTACATACTTTAAGCTATTTCAATGACTTGTTCCACATATTCACCGATAAATATGACAAAGTTACTATATAAAGAACATTTTAATGTTGTTCAGTTTATATCTAAACTATATTTAAAGAATACCTATTAGAAGGTAGTCACTATAGTTTTAATTTCTAAAATATTTAGTGACTTCCCTGGTGGCGCAGTGGTTAAGAATCTGCCTGCCAATGCAGGGGACTTGGGTCCGATCCCTGGTCTGGGAAGATCCCACATGCTGCAGAACAACTAAGCCCATGCGCCACAACTACTGAGCCTGTGCTCTAGAGCCCACAGCCACAACTACTGAGCCGGCGTGCTGCAACTACTGAAGCCTGCATGCCTAGAGCCCGTGCTCCGCAACAAGAGAAGCCACAGCAATAAGAAGCCCACACACCACAACGAAGAGTAGCCCCCGCTCCCTGCAACTAGAGAAAGCCCGCGCACAGCAACAGAGCCAAAAATCAATAAATTTATAAGTAAATAAATAAATGAAATATTTAACAGCGGGACTTCCTTGGCAGTCCAGTGGTTAAGACTCCGTGCTTCCACTGCAGGGGGCGTGGGTTCGATACCAGGGAACTAAGATCCTGCATGCCGTGCAGCACAGCCAAAAAATTTTTAAAGAAATAAAATTTTAAAAATTTAAAAATAAAATAAAATAAAAATGAAATATTTAACAGCAACCTTTTAAATGTCTTTTGTGGAACTAGGTCTTTGAGAACAAAAAATATTAAACACAGAGGACATTATTCAACTGACAGCTGATTTCTGCAAACCTAAAATATATGTAATGTAAAGCAGTTAGTTTTAATCACCAAGGAATGATTATGGCACACTGGCATATGATTATCAGTGATGCACTGAGCAATAAACTTTTTACTAATCATGGGAGACATAACCAAATGACATCATATAAATCTGAGAACTATAATCAAGTTCATCTTGGTGTTTGTTTTGTAATACTTAGTTATCATGAAATTTTCTTAAAAACATCACTAAGGGTGGTTTGGGAGATGTTCTGAAAAGGAAGCAGTCGATTCTGCCAGTTAAAAATCATAGGCAAATACAGTTTCCACACAAACAGCAAATTGTCCCAAGCTCACAGTATATTCTCTTTCATCTCTGACAGGGTCATTATAATATACAAGACCCGATACATACAATGGTCTACATCTAGATTGTTTTATGTTGAACAAAACTCAAATTTCTACTGAAATTATACTCTTGAAAGCATTATATAATATAAATGTTAGATACCATTATTTTAAAACCTATGTCAAACTGAGTGAGTTCTTTCAATAAACAGAGAATAGACCTTCACTTGTTCAATTCTATTCATTCATTCATCAACACTGGAGATTAAAAACAAAATATACATTGTTCCTGCCCTCATAGAAACCACTGTCTAGCATGACAGACAGACATTAATGTAAGTATAAATTCAACAGTCAAGCAGAGTACAGAGCACAACAGCATATATATCAGGGGGACCCAACACAGTCAGTGGAATCTGGGAATGCTTCTCTGAGAAAGGCAAGTCTCTGAGTAAGAAGTATGCTAAGATGTTCTAAGATGATCTAAGATGTTCTATGATGTAAGCTAAGATGTTCTATGACAGACACTACCTCCACTACGGGGGACTGGGAGCTCTTAAGAGTGAGGGGAGCTTTTTTCGTCTCGGCCACCGACATGCCATCCCAACTAAGGAAGACCCGGAAACTTAGGGGCCACGTGAGCCACGGCCATGGCCGCATCGGCAAACACCGGAAGTACCCGGGAGGCCGCGGTAATGCTGGTGGCATGCATCACCACAGGATCAACCTCGACAAACATCACCCAGGATACTTTGGGAAAGTTGGTATGAGGCATTACCACTTAAAGGGGAACCAGAGCTTCTGCCCAACTGTCAACCTTGATAAATTGTGGACCTTGGTCAGTGAGCAGACACGGGTAAATGCCGCCAAGAGCAGGAATGGAGCTGCTCCTGTCATTGACGTGGTGCGATCGGGTTACTACAAAGTTCTGGGGAAGGGAAAGCTCCCAAAGCAGCCTGTCATCGTGAAGGCCAAATTCTGCAGCAGAAGAGCTGAGGAGAAGATTAAGGGTGTCGGTGGGGCTTGTGTCCTGGTAGCTTGAAGCCACATGGCGGGAGATTCATTAAATGATAACAAGTGCTTTTCCAAAAAAAAAACCGTGAGGGGAAATACTGCAGGCTGCAACCACTATGGAGGTATATTAGATATACATACACAGTTTCAAACAACTTAAATATGCCAAGAAGCAGAAAAATCTTAAGGGCATAGTATTTTTTGAGATACCCAACTGAAAAATAGGTTATTTTTTTACAGCAAATATAATGAAAACCAAATTACACAAAATGAAATTTCAAAAATTATATAGCTATGTAAGGAATATGATCAATAGCTACAAAGCAAAGGTTAATTTTTAGTTTTCTGCTTTTTTCCTCAAATGACTCATGCATGATCACTACAGAAAAATTAAAATACACAGACTACAAATTTTTTTTAACTTTATCAATAATCCCACCATCTAGAGATAAACACTGGTAATATTTAGGTATATAAACCCCGAAATGTTTTATCTATATAATGTTTATTTGCACATGTGCGCACACGCGCACACACAGAAAAAGACTAGAAGGAGACAGAATCAAAATGTTCACAGTGCTTGGTCTGTTTTGTGAATGTTGACATTATGGTGATTTCCTGCCTTTTTCTATATTTTTCAAATTTTCACAATAAGCAAGTATCTTCATTATAAACAGAAGGGATTCTCCCCCCAAAGAAATCCAATGTAATAAAACATTTTGAATACATGATATATGGGATTATGTAGATATTAACAGAAAATACAATGGAAAGAAAATTTTAAAATAATATAAGTAAAAAACATACAATACCACTTTTGTGGCTTAAAAAAAACCTAAATATTACTTTTAAATAACACAAAATTTCTAAGCATTGTATTTTTTTAAAGACAGGTAACATTCTCAAATCCTCTACTGAATAAATTCTAATCAAACTCCAGCAAAATTATAGTAATACTTTAATTTTACTGTCACCCCATGGCAGGATTATTCTGCCATCATAGAACTTTGAGCAACAAAACCAAAATACAATGCTTAAATATTTCAAGATAATATGCCCACCACTCATTGTGTCTCGACTATCCTCTCAAAAATTAGAGAAAACAGACTGAGGTGAGTTCTCAGAAAGAGGTGGTAGTGTGAGGCTCTGACCTGGTCCGACTGCATGCAGCTCTCTGTAGCTCCTGGATCAACTGGCCAGTACATTCTGGCTCTCTACTGGCCGCCTGCAGCAAAGCTTTCCTAAACGTGTGCCGGCATTTCTTTTGACGAGATTCTGCCCGCTCCAGGCGGCAGAGGTGCTTATATTTCTGCTGAAAGTAAGTGCAAAGTTGGGTCACCCTGGAGCTCCTACTCTCTGTATCATCATCATCCGACCTAGAGAGTGCAGGGAGAGAAGCAGAAAACTTGATTACACGTTAGGCTCATTTTAAAAAGGGGAAAAGCAGATGAAGAAGGGGGGCTGGATGCACAGGCCTGAAACTTGTGGCATGTGAGCACACATTTAACAAAATTAGAGGAAGAGAATTTCAGTAGAGCCGCTGAAAAGAAGTACAGTGTTTTTACAATAAGTGAGCAGTAGAGACAATCCAATGCTCTAAGAAGCTTAACCTTCTTAGCGTGTCATGATTAGACACTCAGTGCATCAGTGTCTTCCAAGTTTTAAGTGACTAGGGATTTTGGGGAAGAAAATAATTTCTTTACCTCTACTTACTAAAAAGTCTGAGTAAATGACACGACGGTTATGAGGAAACAGCATAATTTCATAAACGATAGGTCATACCAGAAATAGAGCAGTGAATTCCAATGGACCATGAATACTATCTAAGAGCTGCTCTTTCAGATGTACTGGTTTTTAACTACCCTTTTTTTGCTAAGCACTTAAAAGAATTTTGATTCTAGGGATCACAATCATTCTACAGTATTTTTTTAAACTACAGGAGATATCCTAAACAACATTTCATATAACAGGGAATTACACAGAGGCTTTTCTATCATTAACGCTAATGTTGGTTGATTGGTGGCCCCTGCTGGAGCACTCCACTGAAAAGGATGCTGAGGGCACATTCAGGCTCAACAAGAAAGAGAGCTGTGGTTCGTTAGCAATGTCTACCACCAGGGAGGTTAAAAAGGTCACCTTTCTATAGAATAAATGTGACCTCATTTTTTTTTACTGTTAGGAATAATGCACACAAGACTTGAAAACTGACCTGTGTTATTTTACCTTCCTTCTCTTATAACATAAACAAACAGCACACATATGACACTACAGACGACATATTTATTATCTTACTAATATTCTGTAAATCCTTTCCTGGTTTCTCTTCTTGAGTGGTAGTACCTGTTTTTTCTTCAGAATAGCCCATAACAGGCTACTCTGTAAACTTCTGTTTGGTATATGTCTTAAGAGTCATGTTCTCTTCAGTACAGTTTCTACTACAGATATACCAATTGAAGGATCTCACTTCAACCTTTTCACCTATTAGACATTCAACATTTACTCTATGTCTATCATGCTTTGTGAAAAAGCTAGGAGCTTTTAAAATTGCAGTTTCCCAAGACCTACCCTACATCTACTGAACCAGAATTTCCATGGGATGGGATGCAGCAATCTCTATTTTAATTGTTCCCCGAAGTCCCACAGCAGGTCTCCATTTGGGAATTGTAGTAGAGCCAGTACATGCTGTTAGTATCTTTAATGTGAGGTAGAGAGCAAGAAACATAGGAGAGGTACAGATAAAATGCTTTTAAAGTTCCCTAGAAAGACTGCTGGATGAAAGGCTTTTTGTAGAGGAGATGACAACAGAACTGAACCTTGAAAAAAGGGTAGAATTTGAAGATGAGCAAAGAAAGGTACCTCACAAGGATAAAGCAATATAAGCCAAGATACAGAGATGGACAGGATGGGGAACAGCAAGGACTGAGTAGCTTGGTTTGGCTAATGCAGTAGCTTTGGTTTGGGGAATGCAGGAGAGTGCTGGTGGGTTAGGTAGACTTTCTAAAGCTAAAGGACAGATTAAAGAGTTCAACCTTTATTCAATAGGCAATGAAGAACCTTGTAGATTATTAAGAAAATAGCTAACAATAACAGAGCTCTGCATGAGAAAGATTACACTGTCAGCAGATATAAATGGAAGAAGAGACAGAAGAAGAGAACAGTGAGGAAATTATGATAAAACTCCAGGTAAGAAATAACAAGGACCCTACACCAGGGGGGCAGCAGCAGGACTACAGAATATCAGAGGTAATCTGCATATATAAGAGACTCTGGGGACTTCCCTGGTGGTCCGGTGGTTAAGAATCTGCCTTCCAATGCAGGGGACGCGGGTTCGATCCCTGGTCGGGGAACTAAGATCTCAGCTGCTGTGGGGCAACTAAGCCCGTGCGCCCCAACTACTGAGCCCGCATGTTCTGGACCCTGCACGGTGCAACTAGAGAAGCCCACGCGCTACAACAAAAGATCCCATGTGCTGCAACGAAGATCCCATGTGCCACAATGAAGACCCGAAGCAACCAAATAATTAAAAAAAGAAAAGAGAGAGACAGACTTTGTCAACTGGGCAAAGAAGATGGAAGGGACAATAATCCCCCAGCTGTTTCCATTGGCAAAGAGCAGGAAACAGGAGCAAGAGCACATCTGGGGTAGGAAATAAATTCCATTTTAGACCTAGGTAATTTAAAGTACAGATGAGGGGCTTCCCTGGTTGCGCAGAGGTTAAGAATCCGCCTGCCAATGCAGGGGACACGGGTTCGAGCCCTGGTCCGGGAAGATCCCACATGCCGCAGAGCAGCTAAGCCCGTGCACCACAACTGCTGAGCCTGCGCTCTAGAGCCTGCGAGCCACAACTACTAAGCCCGCGTGCCACAACTACTTAGCTCGCACGCCTAGAGCCCGTGCTCCGCAACAAGAGAAGCCACTGCAATGAGAAACCCGCGCACCGCAACGAAGAGTAGCCCCCACTTGCTGCAACTAGAGAAAGCCCCGGCAGAGCAACGAAGACCCAACGCAGCCATAAATAAATAAATAAATTTATGTTTTAAAAAAAGTACAGATGAGGCAACATAGGGAGTGGTGGAGAAACAGTTGGAAATTATAAACTTGGGCACGTTTAGAGAAGAGATACAGATTTCGGAGTCAACGGCTAACAACTGGGAGGGACTAAAAGTAAAAGGCCACAGAGATAATAGAAAGAACACAACACATAAGGGCCATTATCACAAAAGAATTTGGTGACTGGGTATGAAGGATAAGAAAGTCAATAAGGACTTTGAATCTGTATAACTAAGAGAATGGAAGCGCCATAACAGAAAGATGAAAGAGAAGCAGTAAGTCTTAAAGGGAAAATAAAGCTAGGGTGGAAAATCAACTGCCAACATTGTTATTTAAAAAGACTCTTATTACTGCAGAGAAAATGGACTAGATGAGTGTTTCTCAACTTAACCATGGGAAGATGCACCTGGATGTTGCACGTTACATCATGATAAACGTTTTCAAAGCTTATTCATAACTTCCAAAATTATCTTGCTGTGGTCCAGTAACAAGCAGTTTGCAGACTAGCACAGATCCACAGACCATCCTTGGCACTGTCCTAAACTAGAAAATCTTCAAGATGCCTCCCACTTCTAAGATGCTAGACATTAATATTTCAAATCTGGTTGCTGAGGAAGAGTAGCAAATTAGGAAGAGAAAGGCCAGTTCCCATAATATACCAGCAGTGACAAGGGCTGGTACCTACAGCATTTCTCGATATGTGTTAAGTTTCCTTCTTTCTTTAACTTTTCTCATCTGGGTGAAATGGAGACACAGCTGGCTCACCCAACTCCCATGGTCAAGAGAAAGAAATGATACATGTGAAATCACAATATAAGTACAGGTATTATTATTAAGATGCTACTAATAGCTCCAAATAAATACAGAGCAGTAAATTCCAAACCTGATTTCGTAAAACTTCAGGCTTGTCTGTAATCTCAAGGCATGACGTGAAATTTTCCAAATAAAAGTCACTTTATCTTATTTTATTAAAACAACAAAAGAGTGAAAACTTCCCACAAAGAAAAGATTCATGACCAGATGGCTTCACTGGTGACTCACACAAAATGTTTAAAGAATTAGGGGACTTCCCTGGTGGTCCAGTGGTTAAGACTCTGAGCTTCCACTGCAGGGGGCATGGGTTCAATCCCTGGTCGGGGAGCTAAGATCCCGCATGCCACGCATATAGATAAATAAATATTAAGAAAAGAAGGCATAGTCAGAGCTGAGGGAAAAAAATAAGGCATAGACAGTTACACCTCAATAAAAAATAAATTTTTTCACTGCAGTATTTATTTAATTTATTTTTTTTTGCGGTACGCAGGCCTCTCACTGTTGTGGCCTCTCCCGTTGCGGAGCACAGGCTCCGGACGCCCAGGCTCAGCGGCCATGGCTCACGGGCCTAGCCGCTCTGCGGCATGTGGGATCTTCCCGGGCGGGGGCACGAACCTGTATCCCCTGAATCGTCAGGCGGACTCTCAACCACTGCGCCACCAGGGAAGCCCCAAAATAAATTTTTTTAAGTGACGGCAAAATAAAAACTTTTTCAGACTTTCAAAAGCTGAAAGAATTTATCACTGGAACACCTGCACTACAAGATATATTAAAGGAAACCTCTCATACAGAAGAAAATGACATCAGATGGCAATCTGGAACTACTCAAAGAATGAGGAGCTCTCTAGAAATTGTAAAAACGTGGGGGATTATAACATGGGTAGAAGTAAAATGTACGACAACTATAGCACAAAGGATGGGAAAGGAGAAATGGAAGTACACTGTCATACGGTTCTTATACATGAAGGGGTATAACACTTAAAGATACACTAAGGCAATTAAGTATGTATACTGCAAACCCTAAAGCAACCACTATAAAAATAAAACAGAGGAATGCAGCTAAAAAGCCAAGAAAGGAGATAAAATGAAATCATAAAAAATAATCAAAAAAGAAAAACGGGAAAAAGGACAGGAACAAATAGGACGAATAGAAAACAAACAAAAGATTTTAGACTTAAATCCAATAGTATCAATAATCACATTAAATTTAAATGGTCTAAATACCCCAAATAAAAATCAGAGATTGTCAGAGTACATAAAAAAGTAAGACCTAACTATATGCGGCCAACAAGAAACCCACTTCAAATATAAAGACTAAAATAGGTTAAAAGTAAAAGGACTGAAAAAGATACCAAGTTAGCAGTAACCAAAAGAAAGCTGGAGTGGCTATACTAATATCACATAAAGTAAGATCTCAGAGCAAACACTATGACTGGGATAAAGAGCATCATTTTATAAAAATAAAAGGATCACTTCATCAAGAGAACAAAACAATCTTAAATGTTTATGTATC